AGTGAGATCAACAATTAATAAATGGGACCTCCTGAAACTGAGAAGCTTCTGTAAGGCAAATGACACAGTCAGCAATACAAAAAGACAACCCACAGAATGGGAAAAAATATTCACTAAACCCACATCCGAGAGAGGGTTGATCTCCAAAATTTACAAAGAACTCAAGAAGCAAGTCTCCAAAACACCAAGGGATCCAATTAAGAAGTGGGCTGCAGAACTAAATAGAGAATTTTCAATAGAGGAGTCTAAAATGGCTGAGAGGCACTTGAGAAAGTGCTCAACATCCTTAGCCATCCGGGAAATGCAAATCGAAACAACTCTGAGATACCATCTCACTCCTGTCAGAATGGCTAAAATCAAAAACACCAACGACAATTTATGATGGAGAGGATGTGGTGAAAGGGGAACACTCCTCCATTGCTGGTGGGAGTGCCAACTGGTTCAGCCACTTTGGAAATCCGTATGGAGATGCCTCAGAAAAAATGGGAATAAACCTACCACAAGACCCAGCAACTCCACTCTTAGGCATATATCCAAAAGATGCCCAGTCATACAACAAGGATGTCTGTTCCACTATGTTCATAGCAGCATTATTTGTAATAGCCAGAACTTGGAAGCAACCTAGATGTCCCTCAACCGAAGAGTGGATAGAGAAAATGTGGTACATTAACACAATGGAGTACTATTCAGCAGAAAAAAACAATGGAATCCTGAGATTTGCAGGCAAATGGATGACACTAGAAGAAACCATCCTGAGTGAGGTAACGCAGTCACAGAAAGAGAAACATGGCATGTACTCTCTCATATATGGATTTTAGACATAGATCTGGGGAGTGCCAGCCTACAATCCCATGGCCAGAGAGTCTGGGAAACAGAAACTTCATTCAGTGGCTGATGGAAGAAGAGGCACACTCCCATGACTAAGCACTGAGCTGAACTCAAGAAAACCAGTAACAGAGAGGGAGGACTGATGACCAAAGGGATTAAGACTGGGCTGGTTTAACCCCCAGAAACAGCTGACCTGACAAAGGTTAACTCTTGAATCCCAGGCATCAGCCTGGGAATCCAGCATGGGATTGATCAAGACCCCTTGAATGTGGGTATCAGTGAGGAGGCCTAGGTAATCTATTGAGCCTTGGGAAGTAGATCAGTGTACTCATGGACTTTGGACTCCCATCCAACAATGTGAGATGCACTCTCACCCTGAACTCTTGGGGGAGGGTCTAGGCCCTGCCCTGTATGAAATGACAGACTATGGACACCCCCATGGAGAGCCTCACCCTCCCTGGGCGAATGAGGGGGTAAGGGGGGGGTTGGGGGGAGGGCACGGGAGGAGGGCAGGGAAAGGGAGAGGGACCTGGAACTGACTTGTGAAGCAACTTTGTTTCTAATCTAAATTTAAACTGAAAAATAAATTTAAAAAAAGCAAAAAAAAAAAAACAAAGGTTCAGTCCTCATGAATGGTAATGGTTTAAGTTACTCTTGGCTTTCTTATCCTTTGTCCAAGGTCACAATAAAAGGGAGTGGATCGGGAGAGAGGGGAGGAGGTGGTGATGGGGGGCTGGGAGGCATAGAGCAGGGGAAACCAGTTATGTAATGTACAAGAGAAATTTTTTAAAAGAAAGAAAAAGAAAATCACAGAAAAACACAAATGCATGTTTACCCGATCACCTGGCAACTTGCCTTATACTTTTCCAGCCCCCAGTATTGTAAGAAAAGAATTCATTGTTTAAATAACCCCATCTGTGGTACCTGAACTAATATTGAATTCAAATAAATAAAATTCCTAAGAATAAGTTCATTCAGTGTACTAATATACATATATATATGAAAGGTTATAAAATATTGCTAAACACAGGAGACATAATAAATGAGAAACACATTATGTCATTAACATGGCATATTACTTGATGCTCTCTAGACAGTCAGTACAGCTTCTCTACAAATGCAATGGCTCTTTTTCTCTATGTGGAAAAGACAACCTCAAGTTCATTTATTATTGACAAGGATACTTGAGTCTCTAAAAACAGTCTTTAAAATGACACAGAATATCGAAGAGTTAACTCTTGAAATTTTTGAATTTACCAAAAAGCTACAGGAGGCAAAAATACTATTGTGCTCTGTCATGAATGTAGGCCTGCAAACCAATATAGATGTACAGAAATGAAGCCACGCTTCCAGTCCCAGCTGGGCCTTTACAAGTGTCCAAACTTGTGCAACAAATGGCGTTAGAGTAACTGAATACCTCCATGGTATGGGTGGCATTGTGCCATGGTTCACAACACACACAAACCTGGCAAAAGCAGCCCAGTGACTTAAGTGTAGATACAAATGACTTGAAAGCAACAACAATAAATAAATCATGTTTTCGTTAGCCCCCTTCTATCCATTCATTTCCCACTTCCGTGTTTAAGCCACATCCTTGCGGTTGTCAGGAAAAACCCATTGAGTGTATGTTAGCAGATGACCCTTTGCACCAACCCATAGGTCAATGTCAGCAGATAATTCTCCCCTCTTTGTCACCACCCACCTGATACTTGCACCCATGCATTTGAATAATGCTCTGACTGTGACTTCCTTTTGTTCTGTAGCTATAAAAATGTCATAGAGCTTCCTGCATTGGAACACTTTTCAGGGCAGCCTGAATCTGCTCCTGGTCCATCATCACCCATATTTGGAATATGAATTAATGTGAATTCCTTTTGAGGTGTTTTGGATCAGCAGAACATGAACACCACTGATGGTGAGCATATCGAATGCAAATCATCTCTCTCTTTGGGCTCTCTGGCATGAACAAGACTTCGTGTTTAAGACCCTAGGTGATACACTAAGCAATGAGATAAAAATACGTTATCTGTTTGGGAAAGACTCACTTGCCTCTTGCAAGGGGCAGTGGTTCCTGGCATGCAAAGTTTCTTCAAACACGGATCTGCCTGACTCCTCACTAAGATGCCAGTGCACACCACAGTTAGATAATCTTCTTGTGTGTTTATTCTTGTCCTCAGATGACCAGCCAAGACCGGCCCATGCAGGCAAAAGATCATAGAGTGCTTGCAGTATGCCAGGCCTGCATACCTGTGTCCGTAGCATAAAAGCCCAGGAAATGTAATGTTTTATGTAGATTTGGGTTTTTATTTTCTCCCTGTGACTAATGTATACAGCAAAGCTTTCCCAAGCATTGTTTTAAATGTTGTCTTTAGTTCTGAGGCTGTTCTGGCTTGAGTTCTATTGCTAGGGAATCTGTGGCTGATTTCTGAATTCTGCAAACATGAAACAGAAGGCTATAAACAATCATAGCTTTTCAGATGGTCTGGCATTTGTTTGACATTCATCACCAAGAAATGTATAGATGAAAAATAGCACAGAGACTCACTGCAAAGGCTGACCTGCACCCTCATCTGCCCTCATTTGTTTCTCCATTCCTGGTGATCAAGGGTGGTCTCAAGCTCGCAACTGCGGGCCAAGGGTTCAGAAATAGGCCCCAACAAACTCTCCCCTCTACTTCCCAGCTGTCCTTTCCCATTCTTTACCTATTAACGTATGGCGTTTTCTTCTGTTTTCTTTTCTCCTCATCAGTAGTCAAACATCAGCAAAATTAAACACGCGTATATTTTCTTCAATACAGACACTGCAGTATCCTCAGAGATTCAGTCATTGTGCTTTCTTAGTCAGTGTATGTAAAATGGATAAACAGGCAGATGAGTGGACAGTGAGGTACATATCATGGGATTTTCTTCAAGTGTGAGATGAATCAAATTACTACATTCACAGGAAAGTGGATGGAACTGAAGGTCATTGTCTGAAGTAAAAAGAAGAGCCAGAAAGACAAACCACGGCATGATTCTGGTGTGTGTGTGCGTGCGTGCGTGCGTGTGTGTTGTACGTGCAGCCATGTGTGCATGTGTGTTCATGCATGTCAAATGCAGGGGACTATGAACAAGGAGGAGGTCTATAGGAAGGGAGAGGAAACCAAGTAGGGACAGGTGTCAAGAACGCTGAAGGGAGGAGGCAGGTCAAGCAGGACAGGGAGAGCAGGGAAGGCAGTGTGAGTGTGACAGCAGAGTATCATGACAGGTGTATGAGAGTCACTGTGAAACCCATCTCTCCATTCCCTGATGAAAGTTTAACTGAAGACCCAGCATGCAGACCAGATGGTCCCTTCCTTTCTTGAACATTCTGCTCACCGATTATTTGACATTCTCAAGAGCTGCAAGATATCAATGTCCCCCCAGAATTTCACTTTTTGGGGGGCTGCTGCTGCATGCAAGAGTGGCCTGGTCACATGACTGTGAGAAACCAGACTAGACTAGGGAGGGAAAAGGTTTTGCTGGAGCAGGGAGTAGGGTTCAGTGACGCCATACAGAGCCCCGTGAGTCCCCAGATACTGGAAGGAGCAGCAAGCTGCTTCCAAAAGGTTTATCAACAGAGCCCTGGTGTCACAGACCTTCCTCTGGCTCAAACTTGTGGGTGGTGACATTTGGGAAATGGGGTGAAAAGTGGATTCTTGTGTCTGACCACTATTAGAGAAAATACTGTTTTTCTTTCTAAAATTAAAACTAGCAAAACTTCAAGGAAGCAAATATCAGATTGAAAGCATTCCAACTCTTAGGAGTAAATAATTCATCATCGAGTACTCACTGGACATTAAAAATGTGGGTAAAATTTCAGCTTGGTTTCCATCTCTTTCAGAGACCTCCAGCCAAGGATCACAGGCTGACTCATGAAGATGGTCATCTGTCACTGCAGAAGCCAACACTTCCCCGAACAATTAAAGCAAAGCTAAATTTGCTCTACTTATCTAGAGGTCAGTATTAGTGTCTCTGAGGCACACAAGTCTGTGTGCTCATTTGTCAGTCATTTTGAAAACGCTCACGTTATAGGAACCCTGGAGGGTGTCTGATGGGAACCACAGTTGAAACACTGCAATAAACTTGGAACTTACAAGCATAAGCCACACTGGATTGAACCCTAAGCAGACACAGAGCAGAACCGGTCATTACCTTTTCGTATAGTCGGCGTGTCACTGTCTGCAATCAGTTGCAGACAGTCTTGAATGACTGCAAAGCAAAAACACAACGTTTTAGTTATTGGAAGAAACAACGAGGCCAGGAGGGAGACGGGGGACACTCAGTCTGCTTCCCCAGAAGCACTGATAGTTTCTCCATGCTCTCACCATGGCACCCTTAAAGCAGTTTTGTGAAACCTGCCCGCTTGCTGGAATCTAAAGACCCCGAGTTCTTGACACCCAAGGAGAAGCTTCCATGTTTTGAGGATATAGTGAGAAGCCATCTGAGTTCTTTTGAAATATTTCTAAGAAGTATTATTTAGGTTTTTATTATATTTTTATTATTTAAAACAATTTCTAAATTTAAATACACTTTGATCATATTCTTCCCCTCCCCCAACTCCCTCCAGATCTTCTCCCTTTCCCTACCCACCAAACTTTAATTTCTTTCTCAAAAAATTAAAAACAAAAAATGAACCACACACAAACCCAACACAACAACAAAACTCCTCAAAACCAAGAAAACAAAATAAAAAACACCCAAACAGAAAACAACAAAAACAAATAAACAATAACTACAGCAAACTTTAACCAAATAAAAGAACACATAAAAAAACTGTGCAGTTGCAGGGCAGTGGTAGTACACACATTTAATCCCAGAACTTGGGAGGCAGAGGCAGGAGGATCTCTGTGAGTTTGAGGCCAGCCTGGTCTACAGAGTGAGTTCCAGAACAGCCAGGACTGCTACACAGAGAAATTCTGTCTTGAAAACAACAACAACAGCAACAACAGATAGATAGACAGACAGACAGACAGACAGACAGACAGACAGACAGACAGACAGACAGATAGAAACACCACTACCAACAACAAAAACCTGTGGAGACCATTGTATGTTGGCCAACTACTCCTGAACTTGAGGCCTGCCTGGGATGGTTGATATACCCTGTGTCACTGAATGAGAAAACTTGTCTTCCCTCTCCCAGCAGGTATAAATGGCAGTTCTTATCCTTTGCCTTAGTGGCTAGCTTTTCATTTATTCATTCGTTCATTCACTCATTCATTCATTTTTAAAAATATAATGAAACAAAATATAATATGATAAAAAACACTATCTAATCGAAGTTGGACAGGACAAACCAACAGAAGGAAAAAAAAAAAACAAGAGAAGGCACAGGAATCATTGACTCACTTGCTCACCCCCTCAGCTTCTTCAGGGCCTCGGGATGCCAGGGATGGGGCCAGACTTTAAATTCTGTCTACTCACCCTACAGCCAAAGTTGAGGGGTTTTTTTGGCAGAATATTTTGAATGGAAGAGAAAAATTAAAAAGCACCTTAAAAAGTACAATGTTAAGAGTTTTGTTGTGAAGCTGCACACGACAGTGAGACCTCCCGGAATCATCAGGTCCAACCACACAAGTCCAGTGAGCAAAGAACAACTGTTAATGGAAATGACCCCAAACGAGCGTGGGGTCTTTCTGTCGACGAGAAAGAGCACCGAGAAGCAGGGAATCCCTGTGCAAGTGCAAATCCTAGATCTAAGCATAAAATAAAAAGTACCAGGAGGCAAAGACCGGGTGATCTCTGTGCATTCCAGGCCAGCCAAGGCTGCATAGTGAGAAACCCTCCCCCCCAAGAAAAATAACAATAAAGGTTTTTAATTATATATGTTCGTTGTACAAAGTGATGCGTTCCATGGAGTAATTTTTCTTTAAGATATTATGTACTCTGACAATATTCACTCGTCATTCACCCTCTCCTGTCCCCTCCTGTGAACCCATCTCCTCTTCCCAGTCAGTTCCTCTTCTATGTATGTAAATACGCTTGTGTGTGTATGCGTGTGTGCATGTGTGCCTGCACACACGCACATGTGTGTGCTTAGATTCTAGGTTCCACATATAAGAGAAAATATGACATTCATCTTTCGGGGGTCTGGCTTATTTTTCTCAGCATGATGATCTCTACTTCTGTCAATTTTCCTGCATACGGCATGATTTTGCTCTTTATAGCTGAGTCAATGTCCACTGTATATGTCTGATTTTAAGAAAGGGATAGTTTAGAGTTTCACCATATATGAGGTCTTTAGTCTGACTGAGACAGCACTTGATGCCCATCTTCTTGATAAACACACTGGTCATGGTATGGAATGCTTGCTACCTCTCGGTGTTGAAAATGTACCCACATTTGAAACTTGAAATAGCAAAGTAACAATGGAGTAATCTTGAGCTATCAAACACAAATTGTTAAAGGGCAGTCATATAAGAATACATAAAGAAATCCTTCTCTGGCAATTGAAGATGAAAATATAACATTAAAAACTATGATTTCTTTATAACCACTTTGGTTTTTCAAGACTGGGTTTCTGTGTACCTTGGCTGTTCTGGAACCCACTCTGTAGACCAGGCTGGTCTTGAACTCACAGAGATCTTCCTACCTCTGCCTCCCCAGGGTAGATTAAAGGCCAGCACCACCTGGCTCTAACTTCTTCTTACATTTCTTGGACCACTCTGAATGCAGCAGAGATAGCAAAGCTGCTGGAAGACACTGAGCCTTAGAAAGTAGCATCCGCTGGACGGTGTCTCAACACTCATGTGGCGGAGACAAGTAAATCTATGTGAGTTTGAGGCCAGACTGGTCTACAGAGTAAGTTCCAGGACAGTTAGGGCTGTTACACAGAGAAACCCTGTCTCAAAAAAAGAAAAAATAAGAAAAAGGAAAGGAAGGAGAGGGGAGAAGGGGAGGGAGAAGAAAGGAAGGAAGGAAGGAAGGAAGGAAGGAAGGAAGGAAGGAAGGAAGGAAGGAAGGAAGGAAGCATTCCCAAACTTGAATTATTGCAGAGAACTGTTGGTTCTGGTCTGTTTCCTATCCTTGAGATGAAAGTAATCAGGCGTGTGCCGGGGGAAAGATGGACTAATCAGGTTCACTCCAGGGCACAGCTCTCCACTGAAAACATGGAGAAGCAGGACGGCAGGCTGCATAGATGGCAGGCTGAAGAGCTGTGAATAAGAGTCGCTTGCAAGAAAGGAGGGACAGTGTCTACAGCCATTGAGCCCAAACTACAGAGAATCCAGGTAAGTTATATAGAACTTTTGTTCTTAGTTTCCCCAGAAGGTGTTCCTAGGTTGTTGTTGTTAGGTAGATGCCTCACCTGGTTATGTGGGAAGCACTGGAAAAGGGAGGGTGGTAAAGACAAACCCAAATTTCTGAATTTCTAATCTTTCCATTGTTGTGGTGTGTGTGTGTGTGCACTATGTGCATGACAATTGATTGAAGCAATGTTGATGAAATCTTAGCATTTATACCCTGTATAGAGCAACCAGAGAGTAACACTGTCAGTAGTGTGAGCACTGTTGATCTTAGCAGAATCCAGTCCGACAGACAACTCAGGACACACTAAAAAGTCATTGGTAGAACATGCCCTACTAACTAAAGCTATTAAGGCTACATGCATGACCTTCCTACTGCAATTCCTCTTCCCTGACTCTTTCTTTAAGTAGGATACTGCCACAGCCCCAATGTTTGTGTCCTACAAGCATATATGTTGAAACCTACCACCAAACTGGTAGGAAGATATCATAATTTAATTCTAGCTGAACTAAAGAAAGCTCAGCTATGCCCTACACATTGGGAAAAACAATTTTATCATATAGCATGAGAAACCTAACACTTTTAGAAGAAAATGTCTCTTGAATAAAAAAATTTATTTCAAAAACTGTTCCTCAGAGAATAAACAGGCAGTTCAGAAACAGCAACTCAACTATTCACCCAAATTAATTGATTCATCAGTGGTGCTTAGTCTAGAGAAAGCCTTTGGCCTCTGGAAAACATTTTTTCTTGTATGAAATTTGAAATCTATTGTTAATTTTTTTCTAATTTGTTTAAGAACCATTCAATATGCCTCTTGTTTTATAATGCCTATAGTTGTACAGTGAAAGATTTGCTGCACAGTGAACCAAACTCAGACAACTGGAGTGTTTCCCAACAGTGTTGATATCTAGCCACACCATTATAGTCTTATGAAAACAGATACCGATAGCAACTGGTGAAATTCATTGATCGTGTTTAGTATCTCATGGGTTTAAAGAATATCTTTCCCTATTATACAACTTTGAAATTACATGAGATGTTTGGCATAGTTTCCTTCTCAGCTAAAGCTAACACTACTACTCATTAAAGCATTTCTGAGCCACAAGAAGATATTTCTCACGGTATACTTCCAGAAATCATGCCATAATGATATATAAGACAATGGTAACTGAGCCGAGAATGATCACATTTTACATCTCAAGTATATTTACTCCTAATATGTCTAAAAGAAAAAGATCACAGTTAGTGAAGAAAATAGTTTATAAAACGAAATGCCCAAAGGATCAACATAGCTGCCATCACTTAGTATTGGTGTAAGAAAAGTCAACACTCTTCAAGTCAGGACTCTTAAATATTACTTATATGGAAAGCTTGTCTCCATGTTTAAAATCTATCATCTGCAGTATAACATTCATACACTTTTTAATCTCGAGAATTTGAAACACGTGATTTGAAACATGAAGGAAGCCACTTAACGTGTTCTGTTTCTTCCTGTCTTAGAATCACACCTCTTCGAGCTGAATCTGGTTGACTGTGTATTACCTCAACAAAGCTAAGTCTAATATAAATGAAGTAATGTAATTTTGGATGGTTATGACTGGGTCACATGAAAAATTCACAAGCAGAGCTTTTCTTCTATAACACAAACTTCCCACATGTGTCCTGAGAATTTTTTTTACAATCACATGAAACACAGAGGAAAGCCAGACTTGTAAAAAACACTGCAACAGAGGAGCAGCCACTTAGCTCAGTGTTTACAAGATCGAGAGGGTGTGTTTCCATGCCTATAAACATGAACATCTCTGAAAAGTTTTCTGCTTCCTATTTCTTTCTAGTTTCCATAACCTGGGACATAGAGTACATTTTTCCAACTCTATGCAATCTTCAAGCCTAGTGAACTATTCTTGTCCATGGTCGGGACAATTACAGAAGCTGTCTGTTCCTACTGGTGAAGCGAAAGTCTA